ATAGGAAGTCCCTCTGGTGGCCGTCTGAGTGACGGCCACTGGAGGTATTCCTATCAATCAATGTAAACACTGTATTTTCTCTGAAAATACAGTGTTTACATTAGATCGCCTGCAGGGAGCTATAGATCTCACCAGAACAACTACATTAAGCTGTAGTTGTACAGGTGACTGTAGTGTCCCTTTAATAAAAATTTCGCCTTAGGGCACTATTTTAGTAAGCTGGGTTAATACTGATCTATATAGTACCATACTAACCAAGTAATTCCGACCCTGGGATACTAAACGGCGGGTGGGAGGAGTCAGGAGCTGCCCCACACTGGACCCCAGGGAGGTGAGTGTTCGAGTGTTTGTCAGTGAGTGAGTGTCTAACTGTCAGTGTCTGTGTATGTGTGTGTGTCTGTCAGTGAGTGAGTATGTCTGTCAGTAAGAGTGTGTGTGTGTCTGTGTCTGTCAGTGAGTGAGTATGTCTGTCAGTAAGAGTGTGTGTGTGTCTATGTCTGTCAGTGAGTATGTATGTCAGTAAGAGTGTGTGTGTGTCTGTCTGTCAGTGAGTATGTATGTCAGTAAGAGTGTGTGTGTGTCTATGTCTGTCAGTGAGTATGTATGTCAGTAAGAGTGTGTGTGTGTCTATGTCTGTCTGTGTATGTGTGTGACATGAAGGGGCAGAAAAATGAATCTTTGCCTAGGGCGGCAGAAATCCTTGCACCGGCCCTGCTCACACCCCTCACTGTGATCACTGCAATCAATTCACTTTTCTCAGAACCTAGATGTGGCACAGGCCGCTGGCCACAAAACCTGCTCCTCTCTGCCTGCTTGCTCTGCTCCTGTCTACTTGCTGTACTCTTCTCTTTTTGATCTGCTCCTCTCTGCATGCTCTGCTCTTGCTCCTCTCTGCATGCTCTGCTCTTGCTCCTCTCTGCTTGCTCTGCTCTTGCTCCTCTCTGTATGCTCTGCTCTGCCTCCTCTGCTCTTGCTCCTCTCTGCATGCTATGCTCTTGCTCCTCTCTGCATGCTCTGCTCTTGCTCCTCTCTGCATGCTCTGCTCTTGCTCCTCTCTGCTTGCTCTGCTCTTGCTCCTCTCTGTATGCTCTGCTCTGCTCTTGCTCCTCTCTGCATGCTCTGCTCTGCCTCCTCTGCTCTTGCTCCTCTCTGCTTGCTCCTCTCTGCATGCTCTGCTCTTGCTCCTCTCTGTATGCTCTGCTCTGCCTCCTCTGCTCTTGCTCCTCTCTGCATGCTCTGCTCTGCCTCCTCTGCTCTTGCTCCTCTCTGCTTGCTCCTCTCTGCATGCTCTGCTCTTGCTCCTCTCTTCCTGCTCTGCTCTTGCTCCTCTCTGCATGCTCTGCTCTGCCTCCTTCCAGCATGCCCATCCTGTCCCAAGTACAATCTGTATGAGCAAGGACGGTGTATAAAAGATATAAAAGGTGGTCCATTTATTTGGATTGTGTTAAGGCAGTTTAAACCTTACAGATAGATTATTACTGGACTTTATATATTCCTGGACCTTTACTTTGCAGAGATTCCATGTTTCTTGTAGATCTAACTGCCTCATATCCTCCTGCTGCACCATGGACAAGAGGAGGGGGAATACTAGTAGGTTGACTGGCAGTAAAGTATCTGCCTACCTTCAACAAAATCCCCAAATATTATGTGAGATAATCCTCATTCTGGGGTTCTGTCCTGTCATTCTTGATTTGTTCCCTAGTGTCCTGTAATGTATATTATCATTTTGTCCCATCTAAAATAAAAACAAAACAATCTTTCTATCTCCTTCAGCAGGCATTTACCTGTGTTTGTCAGACACCTGAGTAATATATTGTCCAATCCCCATTGCTATGGGGGCTCCCTAGCAGATACTTGGCATTTTATGTTGGATAGAGCTGAAAGGAGCAGATCATTGCTGTTGGGGGAATGATGTGGGCACCAGTTTAACGGTCTTCTGAAAAATCACTGTGCGACAATTTTTACTTCTACCCTAGTAATAACATATAAACTACATAAAACTAAATGCATTCTTATTGGTTGCATAATCAGATGTTGCTTCTAAAGAGAAATCTCAGCCAGAAAACATACAAAGCACATTTATAGCAGCAGTTATGCAGTAGTCTTTTCTGTCTATGGGCGAATCTTGTGCAGATGATAATCTGTGCTGTGTTTTATTGATGCATTTTTTAAATTTTTAAATACTCTTTATTAAATTTTAATCATATAAAAAAAAAAAACATACAGACATAATATTTCAAGACATTACACAGACAAAAACTGACATTACTAAATGCATACTTCTTTCTACCTGTGAAGGATAAGTGCCTGAGTGCAGACAAGGGTAATCTTGTCTGTTCCTTATATACTTTATATTTAAACAAAACAATAACTCTAAAGTGCTTACTCAATCTTTACGTAAAAGTTAATACGAGATCCAAACATTTCCCCCTTAACAATTTGTTTCTGACCGAGATGTTATTTCTCCAACAGAAGCCCATTTCCATCTTTAATTGTAACGTTAATTGTTTTGTCCAACAAGTATAGCTAATTTCTAAAGGCTGTTTCCAATTTCTTGCTAAAAGAATCTTCATAGCCAAAAAACTTGGTGTGGCCAAATAATATTGAAATGCTGTTAAATCCGGCCAGCCTAGATGTAAGAAAGCGGTCACCCCATACATAAATATCGATATTAGTATTACACTTAATTTCCCATTTTTTAAATTGGCAGTAATTTGTGCCATTAATCAAGTCAGCATATAGCACTTGGATAAAAGTTTTTATTTAAAAAACCTGCTTCATATATATAGAATTTTGGCTTTTCCCCTCATCGAAATGAAACAAGTGATTTAACTCTTAAATAATTGTATATTTCAGATTCTGGTAAATTATATTCTAAGACCAATGATGCCAACGTTTTCATTCTTCCCTCCTCAATTATATTATTTACATCTCTGATTTTTTTTCCTCTCCACAGAACTAGTTTTAAATCTTCTGTGAGAGATTCCAATATTTCCAACTCCATAAATCCATATTTCTTTTCAGTATTTTTCATATTTTTTCTAAATTGGAACCATATTGGGAAAATGTGTGTTAGAATTTTATTTTTGATTTCTTTCCGTACCAGATATCCTTTACTCTGCCAGATAAGTTTATTTAGGTCCGTCCTATTCAATTACTGGGTTTCTTATATAAACCATCTTGTGTCTTTAATTTCCTTTTTAGTTAGTATTTGAATATGGTTGATTATGCTGGCTTCGTAGTGTTTAATATTGGATAAATTTATACCCCCTTGCACAGGGTTATTAGTCATGTGTTCTAAATGAATCTCTAGCCAGCTATTGGGGATCTTTAGGGGGATGATTTTAAAGAAATAGGTCCACTTAAGGATTATATAAGCATGAATGGTGTTAATTCTTCCCAGCCAAGTCATTAGTAAAGTATTCCATTTTTTTAAAGTCAAATTTGTTGATCTAATCAATTTCAAGAAATTATCTTCTACTATATACTATATGTTTTATCCGATAACATTATACTTAAATATTCAGAGGTCCCTTCACTTCTTTAAAGCCATAAATATCCAATATTGCTTTTTTTATATCCGGATCACCGTTTTTAAACATAACCACAGATTTGTCTATATTTATCTTATTAGTAGATATTTCACTATATTTGGTTATCTCATCCATCAATGAGCTGAAGTGGTCTGGGTGCCGGCAGTGTCCCTTTAATGTTATATAATGTAGTTCATCTGTTGTATTTTTGTTTGTTGTATTTTGAGTTTTTATATTTTGTTGCCATATAGCTATTAAACGTCTTTGTTCTACATGCATTCCTTTTTAGAATTTCAGTCAGTATTATTAAATATGTATATTCATCTAGTTTAGATTCAGACTTTATGATGATGTAACATAACAAAAATATGTGGGGGTTACAACACTTCTGTGCCAAATTTGGTTGATTTCTAAGTAGATTTATTCTGGAACAGCCAATTTATTTTTTGATATTTTTTTTTTTTTTTGCTGTGCATATTGATAAAACAAACAAGCTTGTGGTGCCCCGAGAGTAGTGATGTCACAAATTTTTCACGAACGGTTCACCATGGTTCGCAGCGAACCGCTCGCGGCGGACTCCAGTCAGCTGACACATCCCGGCCAATATGCAGCAGACCCTCCCTCCCAGACCTTCCCACCTCCTGGACAGCATCCATATTGAATGCTTCAATATGGATGCTGTCCAGGAGGTGGGAAGGTCTGGGAGGGAGGGTCTGCTGCATATTGGCCGGGATGTGTCAGCTGACTGGAGTCCGCCGCGAACGGTTCGCTGCGAACCGTGGCGAACCGTTCACGAACCGTTCGCGAAAAATTCGCGACATCACTACCCGAGAGCAGTCCACTTGCTTAGGTCAATAAAATTTACAACAGTGAGGCCTGTGGTAGCATATGCACATTTTATATTACTTAGACAAGATAGCGTGCAGGATAAGGCAGGATGATATAAAAGTATTGTATGAGTTAATTGCGGCTTCGTGAGCCGTGCATGTGGGCTGTAGTTGTGGCGTTTGTGCCCCTCAAGTAGGGTTGAGTGTCTCCCATCAGAGGGATGTGGTGTGGGTCTGTGCTCCTCCGGGAGAGAGGGGGTACCCCTCTCCACAGGCTTACTGTGGAAGCAATTAGTGTGTCTTCTTGCGTCGGTTGGGGGGGGGGGGGTTATACCGTGGCTTCTGTGGTGCCAGCTGGTGGTGTGGAGCTTCCTGTATTGGGTGCTAATTTGTGGTAAGTGTGCCGTATATATGTAAAGCATGCCTAGCATGTTGTGTGGAGTAAGTCATGTTAAATCAACTGTATGTGAGGCTAGTGTCCCGGAGCAGAAGCAAGGTAAACATTGAGTCCAAACGTGGTACAACTGTTGGAACAGCTGTTTTTGTCCATGAAAAAAAGTAATAATCTGTCGGCTAGTGTAATCACACATTGTGTGGTATATAAAAAGAGAATAATACTGAGAAACACATGCAATCCACAGGTATTTTCCATTATTTTATTAACCATGACAACTAATATTAAAAAAAAAAAAAAAAAAAGATTCTACTTTTGTTTAATTTTGCACAGATGGGACATGGCTAGAACTAGCACTAATTGCGCCTTCTACTTCAAAGTAATAGTCAGTGGAAGTTGTCACGAAATGGCGTCACTATTACTTGGTTGTCTCATCGGGCGGTGTTGGAGGAAAAATAATCTCCTAAAATATGACAAATTAAAGAGTTAATTCAGATTTGGCACAAAACAAACGGAGAATTCAAATGTAGTGAATGTGTATATGATTGTATGTGTGTTTCATTGACAAAAGGGTGTTGGGGGTACATAGTGAGAAATACACACAAACAAATTACAGTTGGGGGGAAAATGCATTTCGGCACCAGGAGCCAAGTAACATAGATACACCTCTTGGTAGCATTATATTTCTGCTTCAGATACAGTAGAGTGTTAACTGCATATTGACACCAACTAATCCTACATCCATTACACCCAAGCCCACAGCAGTGTAAATGGGTAAAACGTATATGCAAATTTTACATTACAAAATGTATAAAACTCAACTGGCTTGTACCACATCTTGAGCTCAGACATCTTTAGGTCAGTTAAACCACAAATACAAACATAGCATAATTGCTCAATATCACATGGAAGCAAGTCTTCACAGAAGTTTCCCCTGCATCTAGTGGACAGCCCAATTCCAGAATCCACAGAGTTATAACAGGAAAGAAGGAACCAATTCCTATTTTTTTTTTGTTTTTACTTATGTGATATTAGAATGAGTTGTTTGATAAGCAGATGTTCACCTGCTTTAAGCCATGTTATAACCTGTCTACGTTCATGTACAAAATGAAATTTAACAAAACATTGGTTAGTGGTGAATATAAAATGTGAGAAATGTCAGCCGATACAAGTTTGTCAAATGTGAGACCAATATCGGAGTTTTTTTCCACCTGATTTTTTTTAAGAAAGGAGCAAATCTTTATTAATGTGGTTATGAGAACAATCCCTGTGCAAAGGTAGGAATTTCAAATGCAGTCCTAGCTAGGTAGACTGGTAGTTTTTTGTACATGCAACCTAAGATGGTACGATGGACATTACGCCCATTTAGTTTGACCAATTTTCAAAATACTTTTAATTAGTCCCAGGCCTCATCTTATAGCTAGGATAGCCTTATGCCTATCCCATGCATTCTTAAACTCCCTCACTGTGGTAACCTCTACCACTTCAGCTTGAAGGCTATTCCATGCGTCCACTACCCTCTCTGTAAAGTAATACTTCCTGAAATTATTTTTAAACTTTGCCCCTCTAATTTAAGACTATGTCCTCTTGTGGTAGTTTTTCTTGTTTTAAATAAAGTCTTATCCTTTACTGTGTTTATTCTATTTATGTATTTAAAGGGACACTTTAGTCACCAAAACAACTTTAGCTTAATGAAGCAGTTTTGGTGTATAGAACATGCCCCTGCAGGCTCACTGCGCAATTATCTGCCATTTAGGAGTTAAATTACTTTGTTTATGAACCCTAATCACACCTCCCTGCATGTGACTTGCACAGCCTTCCTAAACACTTCCTATAAAGAATCCTCTAAAGTTTATCCTTTCTGTATTGCAAGTTCTGTTTAATTTAGATTTTCTTATCCCCTGCTATGTTAATAGCTTGCAGGGCCATGCAAGAGCCTCCTGTATGTGATTAAAGTTCAATTTACAGAGCAAGAGATAAAAATTTTAATGGTAAAAAACATCTGATTGAAAGTGATTAAAACAGTTTTTTCATGCAGGCTGTCAGTCATAGCCAGGGCAGGTATGGCAAGGGCTGCATAAAAAGAAACAAAGTGATTTAACTCCTAAATAACAGTGAATTGAGCAGTAAAACCAGCTAATACTTCTCCCTATACAACCAAGCATTCTGCTAGCATTTCCTGCTGCTCTATTACATTGCCTGCCTATCTTTAAGTCATCTGAAATCACTCGTAAATCCCTTTCCTCAGATGTTGAGGTTAGTAGGGTATCAAATATTCTGTACTCTGCCCTCGGGTATTTACGTCCAAGATGCATTACCTTGCACTTATCCACATTAAATGTCAGTTCCCACAGCTCTGACCATTTTTCTAATTTACCTAAATCATTTGTCTTATAACTCCAGGAACATCAACCCTGTTGCAAATTTTAGTAAGACATACCTTACCATCAAGACCTTCTGCAATATCACTAATTAAAATATTCAAGAGGATGGGTCCAAGTACAGATCCCTGAGGTACCCCACTGGTAACTAGACTTTGGCAGTATAAAATAAATGTCATCATACCGGATAGATCAGTATTACCGCTGGCATTTTATGTAAATTATAAGTGTAGAGTGCCATGTCTGTATGACAGGAAAAATGGATTTACTGTTTCTTCCAGATCTTAGTCACGTTTCTTCAATTAACAACAATAGCACCTCTTCTACCACAATTATTACATATATTTTTTAATACTGCTGTCTGCTATTTTTAGCCAATATCCAATTGCAATTACAATACTTACCCTATATACAAAATAATATATACACACACACTGCTCAAAAAAATAAAGGGAGCACTTAAACAACACAATGTAACTCCAAGTCAATCACACTTCTGTGAAATCAAACTGTCCACTTAGGAAGCAACACTGAGTGACAATCAATTTCACATGCTGTTGTGCAAATGGGATAGACAACAGGTGGAAATTATAGGCAATTAGCAAGACACCCCCAATAAAGGAGTGGTTCTGCAGGTGGTGACCACAGACCACTTCTCAGTTCCTATGCTTCCTGGCTGATGTTTTGGTCACTTTTGAATGCTGACGGTGCTTTCACTCTAGTGGTAGCATGAGAAGGAGTCTACAACCCACACAAGATGAGCTCAGGTAGTGCAGCTCATCCAGGATGGCACATCAATGCGAGCTGTGGCAACAAGGTTTGCTGTGTCTGTCAGCATAGGGTCCAGAGCATGGAGACGCTACCAGGAGACAGGCCAGTACATCAGGAGACGTGGAGGAGGCCGTAGGAGGGCAACAACCCAGCAGCAGGACCGCTACCTCCGCCTTTGTGCAAGGAGGAACAGGAGGAGCACTTCCAGAGCCCTGCAAAATGACCTCCAGCAGGCCACAAATGTACATGTGTCTGCTCAAACGGTCAGAAACAGACTCCATAAAGGTGGTGTGAGGGCACGACGTCCACAAGTGCAGGACGTTTGGCATTTGCCAGAGAACACCAAGATTGGCAAATTCGCCACTGGTGCCCTGTTCTCTTCACAGATGAAAGCAGGTTCACACTGAGCACATGTGACAGATGTGACAGAGTCTGGAGACGCCGTGGAGAACGTTCTGCTGTCTGCAACATCCTCCAGCATGGCCGGTTTGGCAGTGGGTCAGTAATGGTGTGGGGTGGCATTTCTTTGGGGGGGCCGCACAGCCCTCCATGTGCTCGCCAGAGGTAGCCTGACTGCCATTAGGTACCGAGATGAGATCCTCAGACCCCTTGTGAGACCATATGCTGGTGCGGTTGGCCCTGGGTTTCTCCTAATGCAGGACAATGCTAGACCTCATGTGCCTGGAGTGTGTCAGCAGTTCCTGCAAGACTAAGGCATTGATGCTATGGAATGGCCCGCCCGTTCCCCAGACCTGAATCCAATTGAGTACATCTGGGACATCATGTCTCGCTCCATCCACCATTGCACCACAGACTGTTCAGGAGTTGGCGGATGCTTTAGTCCAGGTCTGGGGGAGATCCCTCAGGAGACCATCCGCCACCTCATCAAGAGAATGCACAGGCGTTGTAGGGAGGTCATACAGGCACGTGGAAGCCACACACACTACTGAGCCTCATTTTGACTTGTTTTAAGGACATTACATCAAAGTTGGATCAGCATATAGTGTGTTTTTCCACTTTAATTTTGAGTGTGACTCCAAATCCAGACCTCCATGGGTTGAAAAATTGGATTTCCATTTTTTTATTTTTGTGTAATTTTGTTGTCAGCACATTCAACTATGTAAAGAACAAAGTATTTCAGAATAATTTTTAATTCATTCAGATCTAGGATGTGTTATTTTTGTATTCCCTTTATTTTTTTGAGCAGTGTATATTTGTGTTTAGGGCAACATCGATATGATTAATGCAAGACTGTGTGCCGAAGCCGACGTTTGCGGTAGGCCAGTAAATAAAGTGGGTCCACTCTAGTAGAATATAAGTGAATAAAGGGAGTGGAGGGGGGAGGGGCATAAAGATTGCCAGATTAATTACGGCAGGGTAACAAAGAGGAGAGTCCCTTATATAGGTCAAAAAGCCCCAACCACAACTCCAAGCAAAGCCTTTACATATATATATATATATATATATATATATACCAGCATAGAACCCTCCACAGAAAATACATTCCCTATGTTGCCTTGTACCCCTTAACCTCTACACCCTTGCTTTTCTTTCTTTCTCCTAACGGCAAATAGGGAGCAATGGAACACTGTCAGAGTTATTCACTAAAGGGAGAATTCAATGTGAATTGGGATAAAATCAGCTATGCTTTCAATTCGGCTACAGGCTTTAAATGTGAAATTAACTTTGAATTCTCACTTCAGTAAAAATTATTTTGAATTAACTGAATTAGCTGGCTTGTTAGTGGAACCTGCTTATTGTTAGTTCTCTAGATAAGGGATCTATAGAATTTGTATCTGAGTAATGCCGCAAGCCTAGACACGAAATGGAGGCACGTTCCCTCAGCATTAGAGATACAGCAACTCCACACAATCATTTCAGCCTCCATTAGCAGTCATCAATTAGGTGTGAAAGATACCCCTATAGGCAAAGTGAGCAAGGGTCCATATCTGTAATACCTTTTACTTCATGGAGACCCTAGGTATTTATATTTACTTTCTTATTATGCACATGGAAAGGAACTGCTCTGCAGTAGATTAAGTAGAAGGAAAAAATAAGTTCTCTCATTAATTTCAAAGAACCTTCGCAAATATTTAGTTTTGTGGATTCTTCGGATGGATCAGCTTGCACTGCATACTTTTTATTTATTTTTCTATTTTAATTGAAATGATGAAAGATTCCTCTCAACCCTTCGAACATTATGATGTACTATGTACAATAATTGTTCCAGTCCTGAAAAATGCATGTAAATAGGTCTTGTGATATTTGTTACTGTGACGTTTATACCTGGGGCATCATAGCTGATTCAGAGGAAGCTGATTCCAGTCTTTTACTTGAGCGAACCTAATGTTAAAAGAAACAAATACATAATGATTGAAACAGGATAGTGAATTTTCAAAACAAATATTCACATAGTTACATAGCTGAAAAGAGACTTGCGTCCATCAAGTTCAGCCTTCCTCACATGTTTTTGCTGTTGATCCAAAAGAAGGCAAAAAAATCCAGTATGAAGCGCTTCCAATTTCACAACAAACTAGGAAAAAATTCCTTCTTGACCCCAAAATGGCAGTCAGCTATCTCCTTGGATCAATATCTCCTTACACACGTCTCTTTGCAAAGTATGATAGACATGCTCTGACAGTCCTTGAGAGACATTTCAGGAATAATATTCAACAATATTACTATAAATTATATAAATAGTACAAAATCTTCTAATATATAGTGGCATACCTCAGAATGTCTTAACTGCGCTATGACAGTCCCAGTTTTTTGAATCATTAGACAGTCTCTCACTATGACCCTCAAACAGTGCTCCCAGCATGGTCTGCCCTCAGTGGGCAAGCAGCTTGGAGTACATTCACACCAGGCTGACCTGTCATTAATTTGGGTGGACCCTCATCAGGCTGGATGAAGTTGCACATACTACTTCCTCCTATCTGTACCTCGTTGTAGAAGAAGGTCTTGTGGGACCTTGGTAGAAGAGCTTCATCTTCTGCCAAGCCTAAAAGGCAGTGAGTGGAGGGGATTGAAAAGACCAACACACTAAAAATGTATAATTATAGGGGTAGGGAGAGAAAAGTATCTTAGGTACTTACGTCTTCAGTAATTCTCTCAGAATTGTTTACTTGTCTTCACTAATGCATAGGCACACCCTTTCTCTGTCACTATGCTCTGCCAGTGACCTTTTTCCTGTCCCCTGTTCACACCAGTACTGCTAAAGCACACCTACAGCAAGCTGTAATAGTAATGATGCTTAGAGTGTCCCTTAAACTTCTTGCTCCTGTTAACATTTGTAATAATTTGTTTTATTTTCTGTTATGTATCAGCAATAAAAGTGCACCCAAATATGTTGACACTATATGACTGTCAGTAATAGCTCCCACAATCTCGCAGGGATGCTACACCTAGAACATTCTAAATGCCAGGCCTTCCGTCCCCCTTTTGGGGACGCCTGGGAACTATCCCCAACAAGCATAGCTTGAGAGCATCATTTGACATACTCGTGCGTTGTTTAGGGCACTAGAACCTTGCAAGAGAGCACTGAAACCAGCAGGTTCTCCTTTAAGTGTGCTGGCCATAGATGACTGGGAGGCAGCTGGACGCGCATTCATGCCAGGCTGATCTGCCAGTAATTTGGGTGGACTTTTCCACCCCTGTAAGTGGAGTCAGTGGTGCAATTGCATCACCGATCCACCCCCTTTATTTTTCTACCACTTCTTAGGATGCCAGATTGTGAGGTATGAAATGCAGTAGACTGCAACTAATAACATTCCCATAATTTGTTTGTTCAGCAACATTGGAAATTGCCCAAATTGTTACTTACCCTTAGATCCCGCTCATCCAATGCATCACTATTATCCTCAAGATTGCACCTTCCAGTTACACAGGGTCCATCATCCTCATGTCTTTTTCGAAGTATAGCCAAGAAATCCGAAGCCTCGGCCTTTCTCATTAGAGCTGATGGAGAAGCAACAAAAGTTAATTGTGTGATACAATGCTTTAAATTGCTTTGTGTGATACTAGACAGAGCATCTACTTGGCTTTTACAGTATATAAAGATAGGTGCAAGAGCTTGCACATGACATTATGATTACAACTACACAATTATCAGGAATTCAATGTGAACTCCAAATGAGAAGCCAAAAAAAGCTGAAACAAATTCTCCATATCAGCTATGCTTCCAGTAAAACTATTTTGGCCTTAAAGATGAAATTCCATTTGAAATTCATGACAATTATCACTTGAGCAAATAACTGTCAGTTATGTATAGATTTAGCAATCATTTGTTGTTATAGTTTTTCAGGAAGGGTTTTATTAAACCATCATCTACTGTATCGTGAGAGATGCTGTGCTGTGCTTAAACTTTAATAGCTATTGCAGGAGTTCCAAAAACTCTGTTATTACCAACTTTTCAACACAACCCTTGGCGATGATACTGACTCATACCACATCTCCACTGTCATTATACAAGAAATCGCTGAGCAAAATCTTTCTAAATGCAGCAAAGTCCTTTATTCCAGCCATATGGATGTAGTCGTGGGCTCCCACCATTTAGCAACGGATGGCAAAGGTGGAGGAAATCTATTCCATGGAGTCCCTGACTGCGGTGCTGAGAGGTAATTTCGAGCAATGCTTACAGATATGGATGTCATGGGTGGACTATGTGTCTCATCTCTCATCAGTATATCACTTATTGCTATTATACATTTAAACTGACACTTGTGTGTGGGATATGAGGAGAGAGCATACTATTCCCTCTAATGGGAATAGAGCTTTGCCCTCCACTCTCCCCCTTCTTGTTTTTTATTTTGTGTTCTACCTAACGCTCCAAGAGAGGATAGAAGCTTTCGAGTGGAAGGGGAGGGAGGTATGTTCTTCCCTGCATTCGTTTTGGATATGCTGGCTCTCTACCACCAACCAAAAGCTAGAGTATCTAATGTGGGGCTTCTGTCTACTCCATTTTAAATCACAAATGGCTCTAGACAGGGCTGCTCCCTGTGCCCCCTATTGTTCATCCTATCTCTGGAACCACTGGCCCTCAAAATTATGCGCCACCCTGACCTTAAGGGAGTGAGGGTTGGTAACGGAGAATTATGTTTGTCAATGTTCGCAGATGACATATTACTGTCCCTAGAGGACCCGATCACCTCGATGCCTGCCCTACTCTAGCTGTTAAAAGAATATAGCTCTTTCCTATTATAAACTAAATCACTCCAAAACTCAAGCTCTGTCAATATGCTTACCAGTCAATGTAGAAGAACACCTCAAGCAATCATATAAGTTTGATTGGAGAACATCTAACCTCACCTTTTTAGGGGTCAAAATTGGGCCCTCACTACAAAGTATTTACAAGTTAAACTATAAAACATTGCCATAGTTGTGCACCACAACTTTCTCGAAGTGGAAAGCAGTCAAATTTTCATGGTTAGGAGGGACCAACAGTACCAAGATGATTATTCCTAAATTACTTTACGTTTTTAAGATGCTGCCGCTCCAAATCCCTGCACCTCAATTATTAGTACATACATTTGGAACTCTGATAGGCCACATCTACCCCTTTCCCTTTTACAGAGGCATCCAAAACAGAGTGGAGTGGGCATAGCTACCTACTACAAAGCCTCCATACTAGAAACAGTAATCAAAAACTACCCAAACATTCCAAGCAAATAGGATCTTTAATTATATTGACAGCCAGACACTTGATTGCTCTCAATTGGAAGCTAATGACATGCCCCTCAAACTCAAAAAGTAGACTTATTTTACACATATGAACATATGGCTATATATTCTCCCACAACATACAAGTCCTTCCAAACCGCATGGCAACCATGGGTAGACTACTTTGCCCACATGGGCACATTTAAGTAAGTGTTGCGCATCCCCCCTCTCATAATATTGTAAAGCGCTACGGAATCTGTTGGCGCTATATAAAAGGCAATAATAATAATAATAATGGGCTTGGGAAGAGCTACACCCATGTGTATTATTTGGACCGAAGACTGTGTGTCTTTTCTCTGGGGCACACTAATTCTCAGTACTGCACACTAATTTGGTGACTTGACTGTCTTCCCTGCCTGTCTGGTGGAAGTCACAGCTGTGGGGACAACCAATCAATCAACCAATATATACTTAATGGTGACCTCCTTCCCCCTCCCATTTTTTCTTCTGTACCCTATTCCCCCTTTCCTTAAAGTGTAAGTCCAGCTCTAGCCACATCAAACTACAAATGTGACAGTTGCCTTGGAAAGCTAAGATTGTGCATGGAGTCACTGACCAATGTTATATGTACAAACATAACCAGCTACTTCCTAGCGACAATGTAATGCTGTACAACCTACATGTGTATTGTTGACGTGACTTGTTACAAACACGACTCTTTGTCCTAACCTAATAGGAGTTTTTCCACTTGTGTTCTTATACCTGTTATGAAAACTCAATAAAATATTGAAGAAAAAACAAAAAGAATATAGAGAGGGATAAAGATTTAGATACCTCTTTTCAGGAATTTTTAATGAGTTCCATTAGATTTATTCTGACATAACTTTTTTTGCTTCAATAGAGACTTTTTCTTACAGTTCAATGGAAATGCTATGGGTACCAAATTTGCACATATCTATGCAGAAATCTTTATGTACTGTTTGGAGAGGTCAAGTGTTTGAAACAACAATCCATTCAGTGCAGACATGGTGCTTGCTCTTCAGGTGTTAAATAGATTACAATTTGGTAATCTGGAGTTGATCAAATTAAACTTTACAAGACTTTGTAAAGTATGTCAGTAATAATTCCCTGTCATCAAAATTCTAATCTCAAATGGATAAAAAGAAAATGGAGTATACTTTAAAAATACTGAGATTAAAACTATGGCATTCTTCATCTAAATGGCTAGCGCCGGCTGACACTGGATAGCAAAATGGCTATTCAGTGTCCCCAAAAGCCAGTTTAACAGGTTATGCAGGAATTGTACAGAGAAGAACCAATGTTTTAAATAAGCAGATTTTTTTTAAAAAAAAGGAAATTTTTAATGAGAGGTTACGGTGAATAATTGTTAAAGTCAGAGTATGAAATATTGAAAGAGGCATGTTGTTGTTAAATAAAAAAATGAAAATAACATTAGTTAACAAATATATATGAATTTCCATATGTACTGTACACAATACAGTCCAAAGGCTTTTGAAGTTGGATATGTAATTAAAAAATATTGGCAACATGCAGACTGCCGCCCACACTGACCCAATCCATGCAGACTGACGCCCACACTGACCCATGCAGACAAACACACACACTGTGACCCAGGAAAACTGACACACACACTGACCCATTGTGCGCGCACACACACACACACTGACACATGCAGACACACACACACTGACACATGCACACACACACACACTGACCCATGCAGACACATGTGCGCACACACACACACACACACTGACCCATGCAGACACATGCGCACACACACACACACACACACACACACACGCACACATTTAATCTTACATTCATTTCATGTATTTCAGGCATCTTCATTGAGCCTGGATGCCCATCACTGCCTGACTAGTGTCCATTTAGAAAAGTACCAATAAATTCTACAGCAGCGATATTTTCTTCCCTTTCTAATTTTGCAAATATTTGTGTTTGCTTGTTTTATTTCATCCCATCAGTTGTTTAGCGTGGGTATTGCCTTATTGTGATGCTGCCATGAATAAGCTAAAATGTGCATTTAGTTCACTATTTTACTGCCATACTTGATGTGCAGATAAACATTAACACTAAAGTTCACAATATTCAATAAACTGCATATTGTTTGTATAAACAGTGTAATATAATTCAAAAAACAGAGTAATATATAAATGTCAATGCAGAAAAAAGAAAACAAAAAAAAGTCTACTTCGTAATAGAATTATTAGAGCACAGATTTTGAAAGGACTGTTAAGGGTTACAATTAGGATATTGTTTTTAAAGTGGTACGGTCTCTAACCTGGAATTTACAGCATTGAATAATCACCTATAGCTTGTAGTGAACCTTTTTGTTCAAGATTTAGCAAATGACTAACCCAGTTCAGACAAGGCACAGCCTGGGCAAACATTGCAAATGAAGAGGATAAATAAAAACATTGTTTCATTTCTCCTCTCCTCTACATGTGTTCCCTATGATGACTGCCAGGTGGAAAGGACAGAACTTATAACAATGACTGACAGGGAGCTAAGATGAAAGCACCCAGTTGTAGGATAAGAAGGTGTGGATTTCTAAATGTAATTTTATTTTCACACCCCTCACAAATACATATTTGTTAACTATAGGGATAAGTAAATATAAAAGTCTTGGCAAGTTCTGCTTTAAAGGACCACTTTAGTGCCCTGAGGGTGCCCCCACTCTCAGGGTCCTCCTCCCGCCGGGCTCTAGGGGGTTGAAGGGGTTAAACTTACCTCTTTCTCCAGCGCCGGGCGGGGAGCTCGCCTCCTCTTCTCCTCCCTCTTCTTCCGTCACCTGCTGAATGCGCAAGCGCGTCAAGAGCCGCGCGCGCATTCAGCCAGTCCATAGGCTCGGTGAGAAAAAGGCTCAGCGACAAAATCACAGTGAGAAGCGCGGAAGCGCCTCTAGCGGCTGTCAATGAGACAACAACTAGAGGCTGGATTAACCCATAGGTAAACATAGCAGTTTCTCGGAAACTGCTATGTTTACAGAAAAAAGGGTTAATCCTAGCTGGACCAGGCACCCAGACCACTTCATTAAGCTGAAGTGGTCTGGGTGCCTATAGTGGTCCTTTAAAATGTAAACACAGCACTCATAGACTCTCAATGATGCTCCCAGGGAAGGAGAGGCATTCTTTTTTTGGTTAGGGAGGGTCTTGTAATTGCAGACTAGTGAGTTTAATTTAAAAAATATATAAATTATAAACTGGATTATTGTCTGTCACAACCAGATACCATAGGTATGGGTGTTAAAAGCTAAATTTGTTTCTCCAGTGTATCTATTTGTTTGGGGTGGGTACATGTTTTAATATAGACAAAGAGGGGGTGGAGGGTCTTTTGCTCTAATGAAATGTAGTAATATTTTTTGATAAAATGCTTTGAAATGCTTTTGTGCTTTAATGTACCCAGATTTATATAAAACCTGACACTGCAATCACTCAGTAATGACAGGTTACATTTCCAACTAGGCAAATCTGTGATGATGTTTTAGAGATGACACTATTAAGATTTTTTCACTAAAACGGACATAAGTGAAAAATTTAGGCTATGATGGATTTTGAAAAAATCTTCAACAAGTCACAGTATTGGTATTTTGACATTCATTTTGCAATTCAGTTTTCAGTTACCCAAAATTAACAAGTTTATTGTCTAAAGTGAGAAATGTAGGGACTTCAAAGTTAATTCCAAATTTAAGGCCATCGTAGCAAAAGTGAAAAAAAATATTTCCACTTTGGCTAATTTGCAAATTTTGAGAAATTCATTTTAAATTCAATTTAAATTTCAAACAATTCTCTCATTAGTGAACAACCCTGTAAAGTACGGATTATTTGCTAAAGTGAGAATTTAAAGTGAATTTCAAATGTAAGGCCACAATGAAAGCGATAACTGACTCTTATTATTCCAGATCAACTATTTTGAAACTTGCCTTCAGTTTTACTACAGTGTCATTACATTTGAAATTCACTTTAAATTCTGAATTTGATGAAAAGCTCACTGTGTGTTTATTTGTTATAATTTTGAATTATTTCTTTATGTGTAGCACATTGTAGTTCCATGCGCACCTGATCTCATTTGATCTGAACTTCAAGAAACAATGTTTGTAGAGTTGTTTTGGTTTATATTTGTATGCTAGCCATTCCCCACTGACATTGCAAACTTCAACACAAATGCTGTATAATTGTAATGCTGTATAATTAATAATTGATTTAGATTTCTTTATGTTGTAATGTCGGCTAATGGCAATGTATGTATAAAAAAATAAAAATTAAAATAACATACCTGAGTCGGTGAGATGGAGTATGAGTCCAGAACAAACACTCAGAGCCAGCATTAACTTCATGTCTCCTTCGACAGCTTGCAACCCTTCTGATTCTACACGCTTGTCGCCACCACATTTAAATGTTTAGAGAACTGTATTAGTGTAACCTATTCAACCAGCGATTACAAGGCAATTAATACATCTGTCTACATGTAGTATCTCTTGTTGATGGATAAGAAAGTTAATTCAAAGGATTCATGGAATCATCTTTCTAGAAATTGTAATTAATGGATTGCTCAGATTTCAAGCTATTTTTTTTTTAATTGTAAAATTTAAACTGTGTTTGAACCTTATCGGTTAAGTGTTTTAAATACTATCTCTCCCTCTCTATTTGCAGTCAGTATAATTTAACAATCAATAAAGATAATCTTTGAATGGCGGCATAGATGTCTGGTATATGTTGGGAGGCATTGCTGATATTGAAAAATGGTTTTAACTGAACTATATTCTCACAGTTGGAATTTTTGCAATTCGTTTTCAATTCACCAAGATTCACTGTAAATACACAGTAAAATACCCTAATCCAGCTCTATAACAAGTTTTTAGCTCATACAAACCCACTACAAACCATACCAGTTATTTAATGTAGTACCTCTAAACTTGACCAGGTAGTGCAACTTGGGTATTTACTCAGTTCATATTTAATAATTGTTTTCACATCAATTGAGTCCTAAATGTTTGCATGACATACAAATATAGAAATCTAAAATACCTCAGGGTTCTGTTCTGGAAATTTGTTCTGGCAGTCCCAGAACAGAACCCTGAGGGACACCACTTACCACTTTTGTCCAGCTTGAAAATTTACCAGTTATGACAACTCTCGGTACTCTATCTTTAAGCCAAAAGTTCTACCCAAGAATAATAATTTTCATCTAAACTATTTTTTTTTGGTCTGAACACTAACCTATTGTGAGGAACCGTATTAAACACCTTAGTAAAATCTCTTTGTTTACTTTCCCACTAAATCACATTGGTTTCAATATGTTTCTTTTATATTTATTTCCTAATGGTACATACGGAGAGATGTTCCTTTCTAATATTTGTTTGAAGATGTTCCATTTATTCTGTGTTTTTTCACTAAAGCGTTTATGCCAGTCAATATATTGTATAGCTGCCCTTATCTTATTAAAAGTGGCCTTTTAAAAATGTTTTAGTATACCCCATGTGCTTTTAATTGTTTAATTTATTTTAAAAGACACCATATTGTGATCACTATGTCTCAGACAAGCGTCCTTTCTAGTTGGTGCTTGTACCAGTTGTGACCTTAAGGTGTCATTTAACATTTTCAAAGACCTGATTCCCCTTGCTGAACTAGTAGTCCATGTATCCCAATTTATGTCCTGGTAATTAAAATCTCCAATAATTAATGTGTTACCCAGATGTGCAACTTTCCCAATTTGCCCCTTCCTCATCAATATTAACATTAGGTGGTTTATAACATATCCCAACCAATAATTGATTTCCCTTCTTTTTCCGCAAGCAGATATCTAACCATAAAGCATCCACATTTTCCTCATCACATGCCACGTGCTTAAGATTTGGCTTTAATGCATGGTTGACATACAAACATATCCCACTACCGTTTCTATTTTTCTTTCACCCTTAAACCAGGTGTAACCATTTAAGTTAACTGCCCAGTCATGTGTCTCAAGTCACCATGTTTCAGTTATGCCTATTATGTTATATTGCTTAGTGTACGCTGTAACGGACCGTTTTGCACACAAGGGGTAAAAAACGTTTAGGCGATCGTCCCCTTTTCAGAGATGCAGGCACAGCTACTGTAGAACACCAAACTCACGAACCGCCAATAAGGGAATGCTCCAAACTCCCGAACGGCATACAATATAGCACTCCAAACACACTATAGTGCCATGAGGGTGCCCCCACCCTCAGGGTCCCCCTCCCGCCCGGCTCTGGAAGGGGGAAAGGGGTTAAATCTTAACTTTTTCCAGCGCTGGGCGGAGTGCTCTCCTCCTCCGATCCTCCTCTTCTCCTCCCCGTCAGCTGAATGCGCACACATGCGCGCATTCAGCCGGTCACATAGGAAAGCATTCATAATGCTTTCCTATGGACGCTGGCGTGCTCTCACTGTGAAAATCACAGTGAGAAGCACGCAAGCGCCTCTAGCGGCTGTCGGTGAGACAGTCATTAGAGGGAATGGGGGAAGGCTTAACCCATTCATAAACATAGCAGTTTTTCTGAAACTGCTATGTTTATGAAAAAATGGGTTAACCCTAGCTGGACCAGGCACCCAGACCACTTCATTAAGCTGAAGTGGTCTGGGTGCCTAGAGTGGTCCTTTAAGCACATTTTTTAAATTATTTTTAATTTCTTAATATTTTTTACACAAACCATTGTATCTAAGAAATCTGTCTGCCCCTTGCATTCATGAATGCTTCACAAAGGAGTTACTTGAGTCACATAATCTTTTGTATAATTAAAAAGAAATTATAAACGTTTGAATCTGCAGCAGTCTTAGTGCACACATATTGTTTTATTTGACTAATTTAAAACAGTATCCTGTGACCTCTAATCTCTGTTCCACTTGGTTGATCTCAATAGCCCAAGTCACGGAAGAAGTATACTATTTCAAGTTAAGCAGAATAAATTGAAACTTTTTAAGCATCTATGATCTTTGTATTGTCTCAACTTGTGATTAGAAGAATCTCTCTTCCAGAGCAAATATTTTGTATCATAAGTAGGAATATTGATTTAAAGTAACACTTTAGGGCATCCTGTTTCTGTTAAACAAAATACACACACCACCCTCCCGCAAGCAAACACTTACTCCCTTCTCACTGCAGCTCAGCTGTACTCTAATAAGGACAACCACTAAGGAGGATATCCAAACCAATCAAATGCTACTCGTAGAGCAGCACTGGGCCCCACTGTGTATACTTGTCGATTGTCATGCTGTACCAAGAGAATGCTTCTCAAATATAAAAACATTGAATCCAGTTCTTCTCTTCAAGAAGCACTCGCATTTGCTTTTGGGCAAGCAAGCCCGGATTGACAGCTGAATGGTGCAATTTTAAAGTTTTAGAAAGTGCTAATTTCTTTTGAAATGTGCACTTTTATAAAATAGGACAGAGAGGACACAAAGTTCACAGCAAGCAGAATAAGTGAATTGTGTTTAAGGAGTGTTTCATTAACAAAGTATGTTTGATTCAAAATTTAATTTGTTTCAGGGTGTATTATTATTAAAATGTTAATTTAATCTTTCGTGTTATTTGGCAATGGATATGTTTTTAAACTGCTGGAATAAAAAGTTATGCAACACTGTAAACTGCAGGATTCATAAATTAAATGTACCAGCTGCCTGAGATTAGAGAGTTACATTCCCAGGCAGCAGCCACAATTCTCAACTTTTGATTCAAGAGTAATAGAGACACTTGGCCAAGAGACACTGAGTGTGACTTCCATCCAGGGCCATCTTTAACGCAGGGGAAACTGGGCAGCTGCCCCGGGCCCTCAACTTTTAATTTATCTTCCCCATAGTCCCGCCGATGCAATTGGGTGCCCTCACTCTTAGGAAGCCCACTGGGTGCCCATGCACTAAAGGCCACCCTGTGGGCATTTGTAAGCTGGCAAAGCATTGTTAGAGTTGCACGACAGATAGGGATCTATTTTTGGCCATTCTTGCGGAACGAGGTCCCTAAAAAAAAAATCTTGCATTAGGGCTCTTTCTACTTTAGTTCTTCCACTGCATTGGGGTGAATGGCATGATTTCATGCCAGGGAGTGGGAGAATGTGGGGTCCACGGAGCCCAAGAAAATGGTTTCCTTGGGTCCGGTCAATATTAAAGACGGCCCTGCTTCCATCAATGTGTGTTCCATCTCCAGTGGCTCTCTTCAAGGACAGGCAAATATGAATAGAATAGGCAAGTGGCCTCAATCTCGAAGCTTGAGTGCACTGCTCTGTTGTGCAATCAGAACACCAGAAGAGAGGTTCAGACTTAGACTCCAAAGGGCTTCTTGATTTTATGTTCTAGCCAGCCCTTTAGGTCTTTATAGTTGTATTACTATGGTAAAGTATAACTATTACTGAAAATAAATTTCTGAATTGCATACCCCGGTTCACGGAGAGCTTGTTGCCATAACAGACCAAGTAACAGCAGAACAAAACACTAGAGAAAGCAAACTTGTGCACAATGTCTGACAGGAATTGCATGTGAAAATCAGTATAATGTTGCACAATATTGAAATTAAAACTATTGCGTCTTCATCTTTCCCACCTGCTTCAGAGAGGATTATCATTAATTTTTATTAAGTTAAATACATAATTGATATTCCATGCATTGGGATTTAACATGTATATAGAAATAAAATTAAAAATGGATTAAATTCTCAGTACACTCACTCATACTTTGCTAGTCAAAGTAGGCTTCCTATGTTTTCTAAAACGGCTTCCAAGCAATTTCCTGTTTATTAAGCATTTAAGACATGTTTAGTAAAGAATGTGGGGCTTTTTTTTTTTTTTTTTTAATTGTTCCCCTTCGATATTAATCTGTTCTATACGTTCATTTAAGATTTGCAAATTGATATAGTGGAATTGGAAAATACATAATCAAATTTAATTATCATATTCTTACTTAACGTGAGCTAGTCTGGTTTGACTTCATCGACTGCTCCTATTTATTTATTAGAATTATTGTAATTATATGGTAATAGGGCTCCAATAGATTTGAGAGCAGAGCACCTTTTATTTTCCTCTTACTGACATTTTGTGTCTTTCACTTTGATCATATACTTAGGTTACTAAATGGAATTCTTTCTATCAGGCACGTTAACAACCTTCGTTTTCTAAATTTCTCACTATTGCATCATTTCAAAAAGTAGACAAACTAGGGTAGCTCACATGCTGAGCCTTTTTATGTGGTCATTTAATAAACCATTTCTGCCCAACATTATATTGTGACGTAACATACCAGTCAGGGCCAGACTGGCCCACCATGATACCGGGAAATCTCCTGGTGGGCCACAACACCTGGTGCCGGGCAGATAGCCCAAATCATCAGGATAATGTAATTTAAATGATTTTCCCCTTGGGCTGTGCCAGCCTGTGTCAGTCCGAGGGGAGTA